CAAGAGGTGGTTCCCGATCTGTTTGTCGGGTCGGGTGCCTGCCCCGGTGCTCGTGCAGCCCTCTGTGCGTGCCCTGTCACAGCGCTGGTCACACTGTGCTGTAACTGCCCATTTGCTCCCCCATGTCTTCAGCAGCCGGCGGGCTGCTGGACAGCAGAGGCTGTGCATCTCCAGGGCTGGTCACCATGCACCGATTGAGTAGCCGCTCAGTCAGTATTTGTTGAATGAATAAATGAACAACTAACCTTGAAATGAGGGACATGAGATTGCACTTTGGAAGTTAAACTATGAAATCAGTACATCATAATTCAGAACCAAGAGATAATAATACTTTTTAAAGTTCGTTGTTAATAAAATATTAAATATTATTCATATTAAGAACCAACCATTGTTAATATTTATTGCTATGTGTCAGGCTTAGTTATAAGATCTTTGCATATTTTAACTTATTTAATAATCACTGTTACTCAAATTTTCTCACCAGCTCAGATTTTTTTATTAGAAGTTAGTTTGCTTACGTTTAAGTACACATGGCTCCCTTCATAACATTTGACAGTATTGATTCTGTATTGTTTCAGCGGGTAGTCACCTGTTTAATTTAATACTTAGTAGAGGGGACTCTGCTTCCTGCCTGGGGTTAGCATTCCCTCTCCAGCCTCAGCAACTCACCCCAGAAGGCCAGCCCCCTCCTGGGGCTTGACCAGCTGCCTTCCTGTAGGTGGGGGCCGGTGCCAGCCTTGAATCCAGACTTAGGCCAGGGAGGAGTGACATTGGCAAAATGGTGAAATAGGAGTTTTCTACCATCTTCCCCCCAAAGAACGCCAATTTTGACAATCATCCACGGATGAGAGTGCCTTTATGGAAATCCAGGAGTCCAGCAGAGAAGTTCCAGCATGCCACTGGAGCCAAAAAATCCAAGATTGTACATGCAGAGAGTAGGAGGAACAGGTTCACTTTACCTGCGTCATCCCTCCCCCAAGGTGCACAGCTCACTGCCCAGAGAGACCTCCTCTGCCAGTGATTGCTCCCAAGGGGGGAATTGAGAGTGTGTGAGTGAGCACCCAGCTTCACCGGCTGTGTGAGGCACTGCCAAAGAGGCCCACTTCTTTCTCGCCCCATTCGGAACACCGAGGAGTGCTAGACGACTGGGTTGCAGGGAGGGGCCGAGAGAAGAGCAGCCTGGGCTCTTAGAGGACATCGAAGGGACATGGATCCCACCAACCATGAGCTACAAGAAAACACAGAAAAACAATTCCACAAAATCAGGAAAACAATTCATGAACTAAATGAGAAGTTTAACAGAGAGACAGAAATAATAAAAAAGAACCAAACGGAAATTCTGGAGCTGACGCATACAGCGAATGAAATGAAGAATAAGACAAGGATGCTCATTCTTGACACTTGTATTCAACATAATACTGGAAGTCCTAGCCAAGTAATTAGGCAAGAAAAAGAAATAAAAGATATCCAAATGGGAAAGGAAGAAGTAAAATTGTCTCTGTTTGCAGATGACATGGTCTTATATATAGAAAACCCTAAAGACTCCACCAAAGAAATTGTTAGAACTAATCAACAAATTCAGTAAAGTTGCAGGATACAAAATGAACGTAGAAAAATCCATTGTGTTTCTATACACTAACAATGAACTATTGGAAAGAGAAATTGAGAAAACAATCCCATTTATTTATTTATTTATTTATTTATTTA